CATTTAATCACTTTTAAAATAGTATATTACAAGTTATGATATAATCAGAATTAAGAGTTATAATCCAATTAATGCGGGGTGTTGTGAAGAAATGCAAATTGTTTTCACTTCTGAACTTTAGATTAAGATTAGCTGGGCATACGCTTTTTTCCTCTCCATTTACTGCAATAATTTTGTTGATAGTTTGAATAGAGCACATGTAAACAAAATTTGACAAAATAATTCACTTCCAATATGAACTTAAGTAATTATGTATATTGAATTATTAGTGTGAAAAATGCAATTTAGATATTAAAATACTAAAAGCCAGTTAAATATGGTACGAAATTATAAACTTGTAGGCAACATTATTGAAGCAATTATTTTGGGTAGAAAAATCCAAGGTGATATTGTACCTTGACCGCATGCTATATATTAATTCTTTCTGAATTTGTTATACTTTTCAAAAGATTTCAAATTTCAACACGTGTATCTATGCTATGATAATAAAAACATGGTGATAAATTTGGAAAATCAATGTTTTAGCCGTGAATAAACAAAAAACAATTCATTTAAACATCCACATCAACAAGTATGTCTAAAAATATTGTATAACCCTTAAATTCAATAAAATAAATTGAGTATAAATATTAGTATAAGATATTAAAAAAACGTAGAGGTGGGTACAGGACAACGTCTGGCGGGCCATCTAGTATATATATATATATATATATATATATATATATATGTTAAAGAAGTTAGTTTTGATAATATATTTTGCACAGAGAACGTAGTTTATGTGACCGAGCCCGAGGCTGTAGTGACTACATGACTACTACATATTATATATTTCACAAATATATAATGACTACTACATATTATATATTTTGCTATGCTCTGTTCAACAAAATAATAAAAAAAACAAGTTAGTGTATATATGATAGTGCAAAATTATGTGCCTTGCGTGATGATGACATAAAATACTATGTCGAAACGTTTGGAAAAATTAAAGATTAACTTCTAAATCTTTGCCTTTTATTTGATGTATGCCCTTGAAGAACTTACTCATATATATATATATATATATATATATATATATATATATGTATTTATTTAAAATAATCACATTTATGTAGCTATATAATTATGTTCGTTCTTTTTTAAGTATCTAGAATATTATAGTATTAAAAATATCTTTTGGCATAGAAATTTCTGATATTATATGCCTCATTGAATACTTCTGAAATATTAGAATCAATAAATTAACTTCCCGCGTAGTAATCGCAAAAAAAATCGAAAATGAAAATTTTCATATATTTTTACGTTTCAAAGGTTTCTGAATATTTTAGCATACCTTAGAAAAAATGGATGTATGTGTGTGTGTATGTGTGTGTGTGCGTGTGTGCGACTACAAATTTTCGTCGACGATTTCGGGAACATGGATCAACTGATTTGAATAATTCAAAAAACAATTGATTCCTACTGATAAGAAGACGTGCTGATTAGTTTCTAGCGAAGGCAGGTCTAGCCGTTCCGAAGATGCGGGGCAAAAAGTGTCAAAAACGGTAACTCAGTTTGTAAGAGAACGAAGCGTCCGATGTGAATAATTCAGAAAACATTTTATTTGTATTGACAAGATGAAGAATTGATCAAATTTTCATGAAGGCAGGTCTAGCGGATTCGGAGATCTAATGAAAAAAGTAAAAAAAAGTGCCATTTGGCGGTCAAAAATGATCATTCGACATATGCAGATCAAATTATCAGATATTTTACAGAGATTTTAACAATAAGTATAAATTTTGTTTACATTCCTATGGGTTCCGTACGACGCGGCGCTTATGCGCTTTGACAATTCGTCTCTATGCAGTTAAAGCAGTACGATTGCTTTGAAAAAAAGTTCAGAATTTCCAAAATATGTCAAAAAAAAGTAATTTTTTGTCAAATTTATAGTTTCGCAAAAATATAATTTTTTCGAAGTAAATTTTTTTCAAAAATATTAATCGTTTTTTAAAAAAATAATAATTTTTGGTACGGGAAGTTCCAGCAATTTGCCTTAAGGCACGATGCCATGCGCTCCACTAGTTTTAACTGCACATTTGGAAGACAATTATTTGGTATCTAACCATTTGCTCTATCATAACCTCAAAAAAAGATGTTAAACGCATAAATGTCAAAATAGCAAATGTCAAATCTGTTCATAGTACAACTTCTCGCCAATGTTATGGGATAAGTGCGTGTTTCTGACTACGTTTATCGGTCAGAGGGTTAGCGTAACATTAATGTTATCATATGATAAAACACATACCGCCGAGAATAAGTGTTACACTTATAATGACATTTTAAACGAAATAAGTGTGAACTTGTCGTAAAATTGAAACCAGAAGTAGATCTAATGAAAAAAATATAATTTGCTATAACAATAAATAATAAATAATAATTACATTTTTATTTGTTTTTTTATTGTTTATTTGATTTAGATATAACATATTAACATATTAATGACACATAATATGTATGTATGTCAGTGTATAATATATATATATATATACAATTTTTGTTTTTATTAGTTTTATTGTCATGACAACTTCATCCAAACTTCCAAAATCAGAGCCTATTATCTCAGAACAAAATCCGCGTTCAGAAGGGCTACTTAGGGTCCAATGGTAGTCGCAAATTTGGCGCTAGTGAGCCGATGAAAAAGTATTATCAAATATTTTATTTTGGTTAGTAAGAAACGTCAGTGTTATTTTTGTGTCAGTTGACAAAATGGTGATTCTTGTTCATTTGTGATCGTACATTTTTAATAAAGATTTCATTAAGAATTGTTTGCAAATGCATAGCCCTTTGACAAAATGAATAGAACAGCTTAAAACTCAGGTACAGTACATGAATACTACGTGGTGCATTGACAGATTAGACTAGTCATATTAAACTTTCAGGAAATAGGCCAGTTCTAGGTAATTATGTAAAAAATCAAGTACAAACTTCTACAAGAAAGACATAATAATATTTAGAAATCGTCCAGCTGTTAAAAATTAGATTATCACTTTACACGAATCGGATTATACTCGGAAGAAAAAAAGAAAGTCAAATTTTGTACGGGTTGATTATTGGTTAATGAGAGTTAAGAATAACAGACGATGTAATGAATGCATCAGTCAGTACATTTCTTTAAATACTTATATTAATAGGTTAAAAATGAATAGAAATTATTATTGTAGTGTGATGTATATTTAAACCGGCAGTGTGATTGTTGATTTATATTTTGATTTGATTGTATATTTAATATAATATAACATTATCTAGTATATTTTTGTTATTATTGTATTATTACAAAACATAATATGACGGTGATACCAAATTTAGTTTCAAATACCCGATTATTAAAATTCATTAATTTTCATTTCACATTTTGCGCCATTAATTTGAATGTCAAAAGCAGCGCCCTCACGTTTGAGCGGGTGGCCCTTTAAGTATCCCTTCTGAACGTAAAAATCGGGAGAGAGAAACGTGTATATAAATACATCATATTCCAATATTGTCTAGGTCCAAAACCCTTTGGAGTCAGACACGATATCGATATATATATTATATATATATATATATATATATATATATATATCAATTTACAAAGTATCTACAGAAAAAAAAACATTATTTTCTATATTTTATACATAGAAAGACACTCATAATTAAGGAAAATGTAATATATTTTCTACACAATGACATGTTATATATATATATATATATATATATATATATATATATATTCTGTTATTAATTTTTATTCACGCCTAGAAGTGCTTCCGCCACACCAAGATAATAAACCATTTGTGCAATTCCGAACAGCGGTGCAATAACTATCATACGACATGCACCTCCTTTGAAGAAAGCTGTAGGTCCTTCGTAGCGTAAAGTTTTCCTAAAATATGCATGAAAATTAAATTGTAAGATTAATTAATACTGATACCATAAGTGTGTTTGAAAGGTAGTAAAATGAAATCGCATTTATTTTCAAGATAAACTGTTGAAATTTTCATCTGAATAGCTAAATATAAAATCTTACAATTTAAATCTACTATTTGCACATATCGGGAACTTCATGCAACTTTCATTATTATATGGCAAATACGCTGGTTAAAAGTAAGCTTCGCTCGAAAATAAACTCAAGATTACAATTTTACAATTTATTTGTAATTGACAGACCAAAACATGTTATGAAATCAAACGTATATTTATAAATTTTAAAAATACCTATGAAATACATTCCTTATAAAATTATGCTTTGGATCATCAAAAATATATTATATAGGCTTGCACCGGATATTCGGTTTCGGCACCTTTTTTAATATTCGGCCGAATACCGAACAGTAACTTACGATTCGGCCGACTGCCGAATACTTAAAATCAAAAGCGACGCCGCCGCTCAGCGACAGCATTGTTGGTGTTTTATCATTTATGCGATAAAGAGCTCGCGATGGATCTGTATTTTGAAGTATATATTATTATTATATATATATATATATATATATATATATATATTATAATATTGTATGTCTGTCATTTGAATATAACGGCCAAGAGTGTCTATCCTGACGTGTATGTGCTCTATGGTGTGTCATATGTAGAGTGTCTGATCCCTTACGGAACAGAAGTATGTATCTGTGTGCGAGTCGGTGTCTGGCGGTAACTTGAGTGTTGAACAGTTCGGCGTTGTGTTAATTTTGGTGAATTATTAAATGTGTTGTATGAAGTAAAAGGTGTTTTATTAATTAATTAATGCTAGAATAAAGCTAGCTTAAAGCTCAGAAGTGGGATAGGATCAAAACGTGGAGAATTTTATTAGAGAACATTATTGGTGTGGATTATTGAAATAGGCGATTTCAATAATCTTTTTCTTTGGAGTGCCCGTGTTATTAATCAGGCGGATTATAATTACGGGGTGCGATAGAAAGCAAGGTGTGCTTCGCTATCGTACAAGTGCGGGTGTTATTTTGTAAGTTTTGTAAGTTTTGTGTGTTTGTGTTGTTGTGCTAAAGTGAGGTTAGCACGTGGGTAACCAAAATAAGAACAGAGTGGAGAGAAAATATCAAAAGCAGTGCGTGATATCGACGTCGGCGAGTCGCGGAGCTGCGATATTTGTAATTAAAAATTCGAGATTGTGAAAATAAAATAAGATTTGGGGAGATGGCTACTGGTGGTGATGCTGAGAGCTTGGTGCCCGAAGCATTAAGAATGCTGTCGTTGACGGACTTGATTAACCTTATTAGGGCGACAACCAGTAATAAAAACGATAGCATCTCGAGCAGCGAGTGGTTGGCGACGATACCGATATTCGACGGGTCGTCTGAGCAATGCATCGAGGCGTGGTTTGAACGGGTTGAGACCGTCCGGGATGCATACGAGGTGCCTAAGAAAAAGATGGCGGTGCTGATAACATCGAAGCTGTCGGGGCGGGCGAGGCGATTATATGACAGCAAGGCAGAGTATGCGACATATTCATACGACGAGCTGAAGAGGGTGCTAACAGCGTTTTTCAAAAATAGAGAAGACAGGATGACTAGAATGAAGCGCTTTGAGTCTCGGAGGTGGCGAAAACAGGAACCGTTTAGCGCATACTTTCAGGAGAAGATGGCGCTAGGGAATAGGTTGGGTTTTATGGAGTCCGATCTACTGGCTTATATGATAGACGGCTTCGACAACCAGCCACTCCAGGCTCAAGCCAAGATGAGCCAATTTAAGGATTTAGCAACTCTGCTAGGTGTAATGAATGAGTTGACAGCGGAGGAACGCGGATGCAATATGATGCCGCCTACGAGGGTACAGCCAACAGTGTTTCCTAGAGTGGAAACACAAGGCACATATCCTACGGTGAGGTGTTTTAATTGTGGCGGAGTGGGACATATGGCGTCCAGGTGCATCAAACCGAAGAACGATGGAGTGGCGTGCTACGACTGTGGCTCAAAGGAGCATCAGCAGAGATTCTGCAAAAATGTCCGGAATACGGCGCAGGTGGCGCCTGACAGCACTACATTTCGAGTTAACGAAATATTGGCGATTCATGGTGAGATTACCACAGACGGAGCAAATATAAATATATCAGATGAAAATGACTACGAAGTGGTAGCGACAGTAGAAGACCTGGAGAGTGAAAAACCGGAGGAACCAGAGACTGCATTCGAAATGCATGACTATGGAGTGATAGCGACAGCAGGAGATCTGGTAGAAAAGGAATATTTGGAGAGTGAAAAGCCGGAAGAAACAGAGACTGCATTCGAAATGCATGGCTATGGAGCGATAGCGACAGCAGAAGATTTGGAGACTGAAAAACAGGAAGAGCCAGAGACTGCATTTGAAATGCATGGCTATGGAGTGGTCGCGACAGTAGGAGATCTGGTCAGAGAGGAATATTTGGAGACTGAAAAACGGGTGGTGCGCGATCCTTACCCCAGTCCAAGAATAGATGATTGCTTGGACTCACCGAAGTCTAAGAGGTATTTTACGAAGCTAGATCTGGAGAACGCTTTCTTTCATGTGGTGGTGGCTGAGACTAGTAGAAAATACACTAGCTTGGGGTGTGCACAGGGAGAATATGAATACAACCGTATGCCATTTGGGTATTGTAATAGCCCGAATGTATCTATGAGATATGTAAGTGACATTTTTCGTTGTTTTGTGATGAACTGTGAAGTTATAGTGTACATGAACGATTTACTAATGGCCACAGAAACAATTGAGGAGAATATTGAAGTGTTGCGTAGGGTGTTAGAGATGATTCGTAGAAATAAGCTAGAACTAAAATTAAATAAGTGTATAAAAATAATAGGCGTATAAGGACAATAAGTGATGGCGACAAAGTTGGTAGAGACAATAAGTGAATGAAATATGATTTATGTTGTAATGGTTTATGATTTATGTTGTAATGGTTTTATGATTTGTGTTGTAATATTAGATTTAGATTACTGTTGTATTAGATCTCATCAGTCGGGGACGCCTGTGAGGTCAGGATTGGCCGAACTATAATATTGTATGTCTGTCATTTGAATATAACGGCCAAGAGTGTCTATCCTGACGTGTATGTGCTCTATGGTGTGTCATATGTAGAGTGTCTGATCCCTTACGGAACAGAAGTATGTATCTGTGTGCGAGTCGGTGTCTGGCGGTAACTTGAGTGTTGAACAGTTCGGCGTTGTGTTAATTTTGGTGAATTATTAAATGTGTTGTATGAAGTAAAAGGTGTTTTATTAATTAATTAATGCTAGAATAAAGCTAGCTTAAAATATATAATAATTTAAACTTTATCGACTTTGGACATTATAAATAAACACTACTTTATTGTTACATGTTTTTATTATATAATATGACTCATTCAATGGTTACACGCATGTGTTGTATCTATACAATAAAGTCATTCATTACACTCAATCCAAGCATTTACAAATAAAGAAAATACTATTAGCTGTTTATCGCAAAATATACAAACAATATTTTTGATCATTTTTAACTTCGCGTAGGGTAAGTTATTGTAATCGTCCAAAAATCGAAATTGAAATTATTTGCATTTCGCGTCGTTTTGAAGGTTTCTGAACATTTTGGCATACCTCAGAAAAAAATGGATGTGTTTGTGTGTATGTATGTATGGATACAATTTTTCGTCCACATTTTCGGGCGCACGGATCAACCGATTTGAATGGTTCAAAAAACATTCGATTCCTATTGATAGGGAAATGTGCTGATTATCGCAAAATATACAAACAATATTTCTGATCATTTTTAACTTCGCGTAGGAAAAGTTATTGTAATCGTCAAAAAATCGAAATTGAAAATGCATTTCGCGACGTTTTGAAGGTTTCTGAACATTTTGGCATACCTCAGAAAAAAATGGATGTGTGTGTATGTATGTATGGATACAATTTTTCTTCCACTTTATCGGGCGCACGGATCAACCGATTTGAATGATTCAAAAAACATTCGATTCCTATTGATAGGGAAATGTGCTGGTTAGTTTTTGGCAAAGGCAGATCGGGTCGTTACAGAGTTAAAAGGCAAAAAGTGCAGAAAACAGATATCGAGTTTGTGAGAGAACGGAGCATCCAATTTGAATGATCTTAAAAACATTCAATTAGTAATAATTGGGAGAAATGGCCATTAGTTTTTGGAAAAGGCAGGCCCAGCCATTTCGAAGATACAAAGCTATACATAAAAAATGTCAGTTTTTGAGAGAAATAAGCATCTAAATTGAATGATTCAAAAAACTTTCTGCTTGTGTTGACAAAACAATTGCTTTTGGATTTTTTTGTTTTTTTTTTTTTATTTGAAAACATTTAACATTCCTCGAATATTTCGTTATGATACGGGAAGTTCCAGCAATTTGCCTTAAGCTACGATGCCATACACCACTAGTTAATGATTTTACCATTTATTTCTTTTACCATGTTGCACATTTCGTTATCATATGTTAAGTATTCAAGTATGTATTCGGTATTTGGCCAAATAGTGTAAATGGTACCAAATTTTCTAAATAAGAAAGAGTAACCGAATAGTGGTTGCAAGTCTAGACATAGAACTTGAGTAAACATATAGTGCGTTAGTAATATAACAATTATTGATATTATTATAAATGAGCTTAAGCGGCGCCAAAAACCTGCCGAATATTCGGTATTCGGTCTCTGGAGTGTGCCGAACATTCGGTATTCGGCATTTTGTGAATATACTATTCGTTGCAAGCCTATATTATGTGCTAAGTTATTTTAATATTCATATAATACTTACGTTATGCAGTCTAGTACACCGCTGTAGGCCATTTCACCTTCTGCCCTGGTCAGTAATTGCAATCTTGTTTTAACTACGTCAAATGGATTGACAACTAATGCCGCCATTGATCCAGCAGCGCAGCCAGATAAGAAGGAGCACCTGAAAGTTTAAATATTTATTCAAAAAATGTATTTATATTATAATGATCAATGTGAGACGACGATATATATATGTATATATATATATATATATATATATATATATATATATATATATATATATATATATATATATGTATATATATATATATACTATATGACCCGACAGACGTTGTCCTGTACCCACATCTACGTTTTTTTAATATCCTATACTAATATTTACCGTTCAGTTAAAAATAATAGTAATTGTTTTTCGAATTACTATTTACACCAATATATGAGTGATGTTAAATGTAAAACTGCTTCAAATAAAATGATGATTCTCAATTTCCACAGTTAACACTTTAAATATCCCAGTCACAAATATTACAATATGTTGAATAAAAATGTATATTAAAAATTATACATTGCAATTTATAGAACAAATTTATTTCCAATAGCTCAATTTATTTTAATGGCAAGGGTTATACAATTTTTTAGTCATACCTGTAAATGGGGATGTATAAATGAATGAATTTTTGTTTATTCACGACTAAAACATCGATTTTCCAGATTTATCACACAAAAAATCATATTTTGCCTTTGTGATTTATGGTCATAGGAAAAGTGTTGGAAATTGAAGTCTTTTAAGGGGTATAACAAATTCAGAAAGAATTAATATATAGCATTCGCGGTAAAGGTACAATATCAATCTTTATCTTAAGTTCAGAAGTGAAAACAATTTGCACTCTCTCACCACCCACCGAAAATCTAAGAAATATTTCAACAGAAAAGCGGAGAACACTTTTTCTTTTTTCACATAGCGTCTTCTCTGATACTTTGTATGTACTACAAACTTATATTTTTTTATTGACTGCTACTCATTGTTCTCTGCTCAGTTGTTCACTGTGAAGTTGTGCAAAAAATGTAAAAAATAAGTTATTCGTTTCCTAACATTTCAATTGGAAACCATCAAATCAGTCACGTTTATTGTGCAAATTTTTATTCAATTTCAACAACAGCAGGCAATTTTTTTCTTCATCTTTTAATCACCAAACAAAATGTTACATAAAGTGAGACCATCTGGTGGTAAAACGGAGTTCGCCGGTTTGCTAGTCTTCTATATATATAAAAATAAGTCGGGTTTTCCTTCCTGACGAAATAACTCCAGAACGCACGAACCGATTTCGAGAATTTTGCATTCGTTGGAAAGGTCTCGGGCTCCGCAGGGTTTATAGCTAAGAAAGTTAGTGGTGCATGGCATCATGCCCTAATGCAAATTGTTGGAACTTCATGCACCGTAATTAAAAATTCGAGTAAAGACATTAGTGAGAATTATCAGAATTATGCTTGGTTAAGTCAACAAGCAATTCTTGCCGCAAAGAATAATGATGTACACGCACTGAATTTCACCATTAAATCAAAAATTGCTGGCGATTTGGTGACATACCAATCATTCCGACTGGTCTTCCATTTGACTTCAAACGATTGCAATTTCCAGTTCGCCTTGCGTTCGCAATAACAAGTCGCAAGGCCAATCGCTTAGTGTTTGCGGGATAAATTTCAAATAGATTATTTTGAAAATCATTGTTTTCACATAGGCAGTTATACGTTGCCTGTTCACGAGTTGGAAAACCATCCGCTTTGTTTGTGTTAACGTCAGACCAAAAAACAAAAAATGTGGTTTACCAAAGAGCACTCAATGAAACGGATAATTTGCGGATTGCCTTTCATTTGCTCAGAGAAGTTCAACTAAAAACACTTCATTTCTGTAATCGAAATAAATTCATTACTGTTGTATAATAAAATCACATTTTTCCTTTTCAAATATAAAACAAACAAAAAATTTCTTCATCTTTCTCACGAAACCATCTGGTGGCGAAACAATTTTGCATTCGTTGGAAAGGTCTCGGGCTCCGCAAGGTTTATAGCTAAGAAAATTAGTGGTGCATGGCATCGTGCCCTAATGCAAATTGCTGGAAGTACACGCACCGTAATTAAAAATTCGAGTAATAAATATAATCAATAACTGTTTTAAATAATTTCAAATAGATTATCTTCTTCTTCTATATATATAAAAATAAGTCGGGTTTTCATTCCTGATGATATAACTCCAGAACGCACGAACCAATTTCGACAGTTTTGCATTCGTTGGAAAGGTCTCGGGCTCCGCAAGGTTTATAGCTAAGAAGTTAGTGGTGCATGGCATCGTGCCCTAATGCAAATTGCTGGAACTTCATGCACCGTGATTAAAAATTCGAGTAATAAAAATAATCAACAATTGTTTTAAATAATTTCAAATAGATTATCTTTTATATATATAAAAATAAGTCGGGTTTTCATTCCTGATGAAATAACTCCAGAACGCACAAACCGATTTCGACAATTTTGCATTCGTTTGAAAGGTCTCGGGCTCCGCAAAGTTTATAGCTAAGAAAATTAGTGGTGCATGGCATCGTGCCCTAATGCAAATTGCTGGAACTTCACGCACCGTAATTAAAACTTCGAGTAATAAAAATAATCAATAACTGTTTTAAATAATTTCAAATAGATTATCTTCTTCTTCTATATATATAAATATAAGCCGGGTTTTCCTTCCTGACGAAATAACTCCAGAACGCACAAACCGATTTCGACAATTTTGCATTCGTTTGAAAGGTCTCGGGCTCCGCAAGGTTTATAGCAAAGAAAATTAGTGGTGCATGGCATCGTGCCCTAATGCAAATTGCTGGAACTTCATGCACCGTGATTAAAAATTCGAGTAATAAAAATAATCAACAATTGTTTTAAATAATTTCAAATAGATTATCTTTTATATATATATAAAAAAATAAGTCGGGTTTTCCTTCCTGACGTAATAACTCCAGAACGCACAAACCGATTTCGACAATTTTGCATTCGTTGGAAAGGTCTCGGGCTCCGCATGGTTTATAGCTAAGAAAGTTAGTGGTGCATGGCATCATGCCCTAATGCAAATTGTTGGAACTTCATGCACCGTAATTAAAAATTCGAGTAAAGACATTAGTGAGAATTATCAGAATTATGCTTGGTTAAGTCAACAAGCAATTCTTGCCGCAAAGAATAATGATGTACACGCACTGAATTTCACCATTAAATCAAAAATTGCTGGCGATTTGGTGACATACCAATCATTCCGACTGGTCTTCCATTTGACTTCAAACGATTGCAATTTCCAGTTCGCCTTGCGTTCGCAATAACAAGTCGCAAGGCCAATCGCATAGTGTTTGCGGGATAAATTTCAAATAGATTATTTTGAAAATCATTGTTTTCACATAGGCAGTTATACGTTGCCTGTTCACGAGTTGGAAAACCATCCGCTTTGTTTGTGTTAACGTCAGACCAAAAAACAAAAAATGTGGTTTACCAAAGAGCACTCAATGAAACGGATAATTTGCGGATTGCCTTTCATTTGCTCAGAGAAGTTCAACTAAAAACACTTCATTTTTGTAATCGAAATAAATTCATTACTGTTGTATAATAAAATCACATTTTTCCTTTTCAAATATAAAACAAACAAAAAATTTCTTCATCTTTCTCACGAAACCATCTGGTGGCGAAACAATTTTGCATTCGTTGGAAAGGTCTCGGGCTCCGCAAGGTTTATAGCTAAGAAAATTAGTGGTGCATGGCATCGTGCCCTAATGCAAATTGCTGGAAGTACACGCACCGTAATTAAAAATTCGAGTAATAAATATAATCAATAACTGTTTTAAATAATTTCAAATAGATTATCTTCTTCTTCTATATATATAAATATAAGTCGGGTTTTCCTTCCTGACGAAATAACTCCAGAAAGCACAAACCGATTTCGACAATTTTGCATTCGTTTGAAAGGTCTCGGGCTCCGCAAGGTTTATAGCAAAGAAAATTAGTGGTGCATGGCATCGTGCCCTAATGCAAATTGCTGGAACTTCATGCACCGTGATTAAAAATTCGAGTAATAAAAATAATCAACAATTGTTTTAAATAATTTCAAATAGATTATCTTTTTATATATATAAAAATAAGTCGGGTTTTCCTTCCTGACGTAATAACTCCAGAACGCACAAACCGATTTCGACAATTTTGCATTCGTTTGAAAGGTCTCGGGCTCCGCAAAGTTTATAGCTAAGAAAATTAGTGGTGCATGGCATCGTGCCCTAATGCAAATTGCTGGAACTTCACGCACTGTAATTAAAACTTCGAGTAATAAAAATAATCAATAACTGTTTTAAATAATTTCAAATAGATTATCTTCTTCTTCTATATATATAAATATAAGTCGGGTTTTCCTTCCTGACGAAATAACTCCAGAACGCACAAACCGATTTCGACAATTTTGCATTCGTTTGAAAGGTCTCGGGCTCCGCAAGGTTTATAGCAAAGAAAATTAGTGGTGCATGGCATCGTGCCCTAATGCAAATTGCTGGAACTTCATGCACCGTGATTAAAAATTCGAGTAATAAAAATAATCAACAATTGTTTTAAATAATTTCAAATAGATTATCTTTTATATATATAAAAATAAGTCGGGTTTTCCTTCCTGACGATACAACTCCAAAACGCACGAACCGATTTCGACGATTTTGCATTCGTTGGAACGGTGTCGGACTCCGTGAGGTTTATAGCAAAGAAAATTGAAGAATGATTTCAACAGAAAAGCGGAAAACACTTTTTCTTTTTCACATACAGCGTCATCTCTGATATTTAGCATGTACTATAAACTAATATATTGGTTGAGTGCTACACATTTGTTTAATAGCTACTCATTGTTTCCTGCTCAATTAATTTCATGTGAGAAATCGGAGTTGTGTTCACAGTAAAATTGTGCAAAAAAGTAAAAAAAAATAAGTTATTCGTTTCCTAACATTTCAACCATCAAATCAATCACGTGTATTGTGCAAATTTTTATTCAATTTCAACAGCGGGTAATTTTTTTTAATTACCAAACGAAATGTTACATAAAATGAAACCATCTGGTAGTGAAACGGAGTTCGCTCGGTATATATATATATATATATA